AAATATTTGAAGTTTAATATTATTAATCAATTTACTGTTATTTATAATTTTATGATTTTTTCTTAATTTAAAAATTTATAGTGAAAACTATAAAATACTTAGTGTTAATGAGTTATGATACTTTAATTAGATATATATATAATTTTATTTGTATATAATAAAACTAATAAAAAAATTATAAAAAATAAAAATAAGATAACACATGATTAACTCGTAACTCGTTAAAGTCACGTTAAAGTTGGATTTTTCCAATCCAAAACCCATTTACGACCCAACCCATAGAATCTATCACTCAAATTGATCCAACTCGAGTCCGACCTCTCCCGTTTACTAGGTCTCCTCGGCTATTCGCCTTGAATAACATTCTTCAAGAAATTTATATGAAGTTCCATTATCTTTCAAGCAAGAATTATAGAAAAGCTATTCCATTCCATCATCAAACCAAACATCACATTTAGAGAGTAACTTCATACAAATTATATAAGAAAGAGACGATGATATGCACGGTTCAGATGCATTTTACAAGTTTGGTTAGGTACTCTAGTAATAAGCAACTATTGTTTAAGCATTTCCTGCAGTTATTATTTACAGATATCAACTGCAAGACAGCATAGCATTCAAGTACAGCGTGCCCTTGGCCTCGACCATCCAGTTCAGCTGCAACGGTTCTGCCCTGAAAGCTCCTCCTTCAAAACATGCTCCCAGTCTGAAGAATAGTTATCATAAAAGCTTGCTGAGAGTTGATTTCCTAGCCTGTTGATCTGTAGAGACTGGCAGATGGAATCATCATGCTTTACCTGTAGATGGAATCCTTTCACAGTGTCCCCAGCATGATTGGCCACTTCATGAAGTTCTACAGGTTCCACATTTTCATCTGACATTCCATCCTCCGCTCCATCATTTTTGATCCACCACCGTTTTTTCAGCCCTGCAAATCCAAGATCAACACCCCTTGGAAGTGGTTGCAATTCCATATCCATGGAACTTGAATTGTCAACACGGCTTTTCAGTATATGGAGCCTAGACATTACAGATGCCTCAATATCATCCTGGAGAGAAAGTTCTGATATTTGACTATAATTCACTTCAGGATCCAATTTGTCAACCTTATCCATTGTGGGACAAACTTTAGGGCTTGAGATTTTCTCCTCATCCACAGCATCATTAGAATTCAAATTCTCAAGCCGGTTCCTGAGGATACGAAATCTCGCAATGACATCATTGGCATTGGTACTTGTGCTTATGATAGGGGAATCTTGGACCAACACATCTGTGCTTGGCCCACCCCGGGATGCAGGTGTTGACTTCTCGTCTGTCTTTATGTAAGAAGAAATGTTTGATATCTTCTCTTCATCTGTGGCATCTTCAGACAAAACTGAAGCAGAACAATAGGTCAAGATAGCCAAACTAGTAAAAAGATTAAACAAACATTTTCAAGTTGAATTATTAAAAAAGGAAAAGGAAAAGGAAAAGAACAACAGTTATGTAATGGATTTCCAAATAAAATTTTGACCTTTTGCTGAGTCCAACTTGCATTGTTCCATCTCCATTTTTGCTGGGTCCAATTTGCATAGTTCCATCTCCATCTTTATGCGATTATAACGAGCCATATAATTAATAGAACATAATGCAGCTTCTGCCTCAAGCCATAGATTCTTATACAAGAGAATTTGTGGGTGTATCTCTTCCTTCTCATGAAAGTTCTCGCTAAGAACCTTCTTTATAGCCTGCAAATTAGGAATAACAATCTCTTCTTCTATCCTGCCAAATGTATCTTGAAATAAAGCAAAAAAGCAATAGAAAAAAATAAAAGAGGAAATACCAGAGTCATCTTATGATTCTTATCATCTTTCACTTTTATCTCTGCATGATCCCTAACCAAAAGAAAATCAGAAGATTCCCCTTCTTTCTCACCAGATTGCTTTCTTTTCTCTAGTAAATGACTATGAGAAGGATCCCCAAGAACATCAACGGCTTCTGGTGGAGAATCTCCCTTGCCTTTGCCCTGAAGAAGACATTATCCAGCTTGGTAACAAAGTACATAAACGTTCCATCAAATGAAAGATTTATGACGCAACAAGCATGACTATGCAGAGCATTCACCACCCAGTCACTTGGGCTGGATGGCCTATCAAAGAGGGAAAAGAACGTGTAATGGGTGAGGTTTTGTGTACTTGCATTTGCTGGGACTACTCATACACTGACTGAAAGGAAAAGAGAGGGAGGGGTGGGTTGGGGATGGATGGAGAAAGTGAAGAAAGGCTGAAAAACACACCTTGTTAGGATCAGCTGATAATTCACGTCCAATATTCTTTCGCATGCATTTATCCAGATTCCAAACTACATTTTTAAGGGCCTCAAAATCCTGCTTCTTCAATTCACTTTCCTCATTAGAACAATGAAATAGAAGCAATTCTGACAGGCTATGCATTGTACCAATCAGTACGTGGACATTAATCATTTGAGAGGACTCTTTGCCATGAGAGTCCACATGCTTAGCAGGAATATCTTCTCCAGAAGATGGTGAACAAGGAGAATTTCCTGCAATCACATGTGAGATGAATGACATCTGAAACTGAGGCATTATTCAGCTTCATGCCAAAATTTGAAACACCAACATATAATGCACACAATTGTTGAGAAGCCAACTTACCTTCTTCAAGGACTTGATGCCTGGTGCAAGACAGCTTAAGGTCAGACTCATTTATTGACTTATTGGATAAGAAATATTCCTTCCTTAGTTGATCTATGTCATCAGAAAATTCAAACCCATTGCCAGAACTTGGTCTTCCATGGTTGGATCCCACTTTCCCTGCATCATTGGGTTGATTCACTCTAAATGATATATCCAAAACTAAAGACCGTTTTGCAGAAGTAAATAAACCATTTTGCAAAAATCAATTTTCTTTAGACGCCAAAGTTTCCCCTGGTTTTCAATAGGAGACTTTTAAAACGTTAGTCATATTAACAGGGATATATTTAGATGCTTACTATTTGATTCACTGCATGCTTCTGGTTTCCTTAGAAGCTCTGTAGCAACTGCCCCAGAAGAACCAAAAGGTGAATAAAGAGAAATAGGAGCTCCTTTCCAGCAAGGTGAATCATCAGCAGGGTAATGATCTGAACTCTCTGAAGAATTCTCAACTTGAATCCCAACATTATTTTCAGTGGTTGTATTGAAGCAATTTGAACTAACATGAGAAAATTGAACTTGGGATCTCACACAGAACTGATCAGATGTATCCTTAGAGCCAATTTTGTTGGTTAAAAGTTCTTCATTTTTTCCTGATGATAATTCAGGAGATAGATGCTGATTTCCATCAAGGTAAATGTTTGATTGGTTAGGATCGAAGTGGAGTCTGCTGGCAGGGCCTAGAAGAGGACAGGGCTCCTTCATGCTAGAGGGATTAACACAAGTAGAATCAATATTGGTTGCATCACTGACAGTGTTAAAATTTCTGAATGGAACTGTAATGGATACTGAAGAACTACTTCCAATAGCTGGTGGCTTGATGACAAGCCCATGAGATGGACCATCGTTTGAAGGTGTACCAAGCTCTCTCATGAAATTTCCATAAGTATTGCTGAATGGAACCAGATTTTTCTTGGGATTCACTGGGTTTCCTAGGGTTATTTGTAAATCTGGAACTCCTAAAGCAGACATCGATGAGGGAGTTTGCCCAATGACAGGTACAAAATCAAGCTTTCCTATATTAGCAGACTCAACTTGCTTCTCCTTAGAAAGCAGACAAGCACCTATGGTAGTTTCTTCATATGACTTTGCACCCCTGGATTCCTTCACCCCTACAATAAAAATAAAAATAAAAAGGAGGGCAAAGGACAAGATGAAATTTGGAGAATTCGAAAACTACCCTCTTTTCAAGATATAAAGAAACAAAAATGTTTGAATGGAGATGGAATTGAGATACACACTTTTTCTTATACTTTAAGATGTCATATCAAATTAATGAAAGATCTAGCACCCAACCTTCCACACCCAAAACTAGTCTCTTTAAATGAAGGATAACTGCTAACTAGAGAGAAGGAACAATTCCAATGTCAACATACATAAAGAGATAAATCTCTGCAGCTATGTCTTAAGAAATCTTATAAGTCATTCCACCTTACAAAATGTGCAAAAGAACAATTCAGGGCATATTTTCCACTATATCTAGTCTAGTACTTAAAGATGCCAAACATGCAAGCTGCAACAGCGGTAATATCTATACAAGAAAGGTTTTTGCTCTCTCAAATTGACGATTTTTAACTGAGGAAGAAGTAACAAAAAGTCCAAATTATAGAGTGAATAAGAAAGAAAGCAAGAAAAATGTCATTGCATATACAATAAGAACAAACTAAATGAATCAAAATCAAAGTAAGGAAAAATAAATAGAATCCGCACTTATTATCATCATTATCCATCTGGTCATTACATGAAATAAAAAAATCATTAGTTCTTATAAGTTAAAATTATACGGAAAAAAGGAGATACCTAAGTTCAATGGATCCTCAGAAATGGATGGAGAAGCCATATTCATCTCATTTGGGTAGAAACTTCCGCCGACATCCACCGTTTTACTGTGCCCCCAATCTGGCAAACCCTCCCACAAGCCACCCCACTGAGTTGTGTGCTCCAAACCAGACAACCTCTGGTCAGGCGTGGATCCATTGAAGGTAACAACATGAGGAGTAGAAAATTGAACTGAAGGCGAGATATATGAAGGGTAATAGGGTTGAACTTCAACAAAATCATTCTTAACACAATCCGGATTGGGGTTATAGGAAAAAGCATCATTTGAGGCTCTGGCAATTGGATCCAAAGGAGTAGGGGCAGACTGAGGTTGGTTAAATGGGTTGGGACCCGAGTAATGGTATGGTTTTGTGGAAGGCATCGAATCCAATTCTGAGAAGTAATCAGGTCTAAAGGAATTGACCCAATTCTGCATAGAGGGACTCAAGGAAGGATTGAATGATGGTTCAGCCAGATCCACAAGTGGGGTTGTGGGAGGTTTTGTAATTGGTCGCTCAACGGTGAAGGGTTGAGCTAAAGCAGATAAGGAAGATCCTCCATTACAACCGTAAGACCCAAAACCCATCATCTTTCATGAATCAAAAGCTGGAGTTTACTGATCAAAACTCAAAAAACCCATATCAAATTAAGCACCTTTAAAGCAAAATTGATGACTAATAATTAAGCGGAGAAAAAGTTTGCGATTATATTAACAAATTTTGATCAGGAAGAATGAAAATCACTGCAGTAAACAGATATCAGAATCGCAGGCAATTATGTTCGATAATTACAAGGAAATAAAAAGAAAACAAGAATCATCGTACTGATTATTCATACCGGAGAAAGTGATGATCGGAGGGTCGGAGCTCACACCAAGACTCCAATACGCAAAGACTTCAACGTCGCAGGGAAGGTGGTGACGCGTGAAAATAAAGTCACTCTGAATTTTTTGGTCTACGACTTTATTGTAATGTTATTTTACCCAAGCCCCTGAATTTTTTCCAAAATTAATTTTTTATTCTAGTTGTTTCCATCTTTACAATCCTCTCCTTACAACGTTTTTTTCCCCACTCCCTTTACTAGTTTCAAAACATGTTTTTACGCAAAAAAAAAATAATAATAATAATAGAGGAGGGTCCTTGTACACACTATACTTACATAAAATTTAATTATTTATTTTATTATTTTTAGTGATTGAGATTTATTATATTTTTTAAATAAAAAAGATAATTTTTTAATAAATATAAATAAATTTCAACAATTAAAAGTAAAGAAATGAATAGTTAAAATTTTGTATAAATATGATATGTAAGAGTTATATGTAAATAAATTATTATTCTATTAATAAATGAAAATTTTTAAAAACTTGAATATTTAATAGTAGATTAGAAATTGATAAGATGCAGTCATAACTCAATTCTATAACAATAATTCCTTTTTTTAAAAAAATTAAAAATTTTAAATCTAAATTATAGATATACTCATAGAGCAAAATCAATAAGAGTAATGCTAGGGGCACTCGCCTCTTGCACTCTCCGGCCAACACTTTCCCTTTTATTGGGCCACGTTGTTTTGGTTCCGAAGAGGTTGCGCTGAAAGGTACAGGGAAGCTTACGTGGCCCAATGAAAGGGAAAGTGTTGGCCGGAGAGTGCAAAAAGCGAGTGCCCGTAGCACTGCTCAGATCAATAATATAAAAAAGTGATCTTTTCTTTTCCCTTTTAAGGAGGTATCTTTTAATGTTGAGACAATAGCCCCATATATATCATAATTAGGCTACAAAGACCAACACAAGCCCAACTCCTAAGGCTTTAATAGAAAGGCCCACTCTTTGAATGAAAGAATTGAACCTTAGACATCTTCCGACGAGCGCATCAATTTATTGGAGCTGTAAATACCCCACACCTAAGGGTTAGTCATTCATTCTCTGCTTTCCATTCCCTCTCTATATTTATACTCTTGTCTTCCTCGGGTCTAACTTGACTCTGTTTTACAGGTCTCCTTACACTGGTTTTTTCGGTTAACCTTGAGTTCGGATTTACTCAACATCACCTCCTTATCCCAGTTTTGAGACATAGGATCTGATCTGATTCATTTGAAGGCCTTGCACCCCTCTAGGGTCTCTCGGTTAACCCTTAACTCTCATTTGCATTATCTATACCATGAAATTTTAATTGAAAAACTGTTGTGCAGGTTGTTCTGCATAACAAAAGAAATTCAATTTTACCATAAATGAGTTTAGAGTATATGAACTTTTTCCCCACTAACCATCTATCCCCTTAAGTCTCAACTAAAATTGTAAAGCAAAAAATAAACCAATCTAAGAAAATTCATTGGATTGAACTCTGTTTTCTTACGACTATAAACGGTAATCGATCACCATACAATTGTTTCTGCTAAAGCTGAAAATTGCATGACATTTTCAAAGTAATGTACAAGAATGACAAATTAATTGACCAAAAAATGACATACAGAGAACCTCTCTCATATTGGAAACTAGAAGTAAACTAGGAATGAAGACTGCTCTGGATGATTCAAGACCGGAGATGAAGCGAAACGGAAGTTGGAAACAGAGGAACCCCTAAAAGAAAGGCCGGCCCGCCTCAGCGCCAGCAGCCTCTCCGTGACCCTGGCCAGCGCCACCGAATACTCCCCCAATAGCTCCGCCATTATCGACACTGCTATCATGATCTCCTCCTTTCTACTTCTTGGATGCCTTTTGTTTGAGGAAATGGAATGGGATGCTGCCAATTTATAATAAGTGTGGATCTGACGACTTTCCGGGAATAATAATCTAATCTTTGATTTCACGGGACATTGTTATTGTTTTGGACTTTTCTACATGAACGAAATCTTGTGTAATTTCTGAATTCAAAATTCAGATTTATTTGAGTCAATTTTTTCGCGTTAATTGGTAATCATAGAGCTGAAAAATACAGAAAGTATCACATGTTTTTTCAACTTTGGGTTAGGCTCATCTGGTATCTGTCTTTATGTGGCCACTGCATTATTCCACGCGTACCAGATAATTTGTTGTGGACTTGGAGCCACGAAAAGTATCAGTTTACTTTGGGGCTGCGGAATAATTATCTGCCGACTGCCGTTAGTTTTAGTTAGTTTTAAATGGACGGATAACAGTATTTAGGTAGTTTTGTACATTACTGTGTACTCTATATTAAATTATGAACACTAACTATTAAAAGGGTTTTCTTTGGTCCCACTAATTTTATAATTAGGATTCATTTGAGGGTATTGTGCTATAAATATAGTTATAACTAAAGATTATTTTAATTTTTTATTATTTTAAAAATACATAAAATATTAATTAAAAATTAATAAAATATATAAAACATTAACTAAAACTGATTAAGAATTATTAATTTACATTTTTTGATATAATCTGGTGTGAGAGATTGAAGATTTTTAACTAATCAAATTATAAAATATTATAATTTAATTGATCAAAAAATTTATCTCTTCTATACTCCTCTTTCATTTCTCTCAAACCAAACTTACTGTTAGTGTTTTTGTAATTTGGTATTGTAATACTTGTTTTATTATTCTATTTTATTTAATGAATTTTTTTCCATAAATAAAAGTAATAAAAAAAGATTTTTTTAATTTCTATATTTATAATACAGATTAAAAATATAATAAATACATATTTTCTTTTAATTTTATATAGAAAAAAATAAAAATTAATTTTTAATTTATTAATTATATAATTAAATTTATTTATTTGATATTAACACTAAAATTAATATTAATTTTTACATATATATATTTATAATGAAAAAATATGCTTAACTTGTGTCGTCGAAAAACCATACAAAACATTGTAGATAGTTTGCGGCCAGTGACCAGTTGACAAATTTCCGACCCTCTTAAAATAGAAAAATAGAGCCGAAATGCTTGAACACACACCTAATTCTGTAATAATAAAAAAAATAGATGAAAATTTGAAATTCCTGAATGCACACTTTCTTAATTTGAAAAAGAGAGGACTTATTATGAGGCATAGAATTTCCTTCTCTATTTGTTTTCTTTATTTTGGGTTAGAATGAATTAATTGAATCCTGCGAAGACCCTTTTCCAAGCCTTCAAGCTAGGATCGAGCCTTCACTGCGGCTAAAGAAGGCTTGGAAATGAAGCACTCCTTAAGAGGTGACATTATAGCTTTTCCATCTCATTGTATCCAGCACGTTGTATTTGTTGCGTGTTGATCCCCAAACTGTCACCATCATGAAATTGGAGTGTGAAACAGGTTTAGGCAGGGAAAGAAAATAGATACGTGACAAACAGGGGAAGGTTGGATCTGGTTTAATGTGTTATATATGTCTTGGGTCCTTATCTGAGTTGTTTGAATAGGTAGCTATTAGCTGGACAATAATGTAAATTTGTATTGTAACAGGTTCAGTAAATAAATTTTCAATACCTCTTGTACACATAAAGTGAACATAATTCCCATAGCCCCTTGTTATTTCTCAAGGCATGACAATTTCATATAACTCATTGGTAAAGTCATCATGCACGTGCATTTTTATCTTGCATTCACACTAATTAATTGCTTTGCATTTGAAAAAATTATTCAAAGGCAATAGTCCACAACATATTACAAATTTCAAGTTTTATATTTATCACATGTTTTATATTGATGTGACTTTAAATTAGTTAAGATATTAATTCTCTAATATTGATTGATGACTCCAAGTAACAACTTGTGACGAATGTAAATTGCAATTTTGAATCCACGTTTGGAACGTAAGAGAGTTAGACGTTTTACGTACTGCTAATTAGCATAACGTATTGAAAAACCATCCATGAAACAACTTTTAATCATGCGTGGTTTAAGATTAAAATCCTAACTATGCATTTGCATATGCACGTATATAACTTTGTGTACATAGTAAACATTTTCACAGATCGATTAATAAATTTTAATAACTCTTGAAATGAGATCTTAAGTTTATAAATTAAAAACTTAGTTAAAAGTCAAGATTTTACAATTTTAAGGTTATGAGTTATGAGTTTTATTTTACATATAACAAATTAATTTCCTGAAAATTTTTGTTGAATCGTATACTAATTGTTATGATCTGTACACTTTGTAGACGCTTGTCCTTTACGTAAGAAAAATACTTTACAATTCGATTAATTAAGCTTCATTCATTGTAAGTTGATTCCGTTTGTTATTCTTTTCAAAGTTTGAACGTTGTAATTTGTATGCGTCAAATCGTATAGACTGTAATTTTGTAGCCTTTCAAGAGAAGTTGATGCGCCAGCTACCTGCCTAACGTTAAAATTGAAAGGATCCCACGGGCCACGGCCATCCCTTTCTGTTGATTCTGATGTCTGTCTTGGCTTATTCGACGAGGATGAATGATTCAGATCTCATAAGACATTGGACACAGGGTCCCGCGCCCATGTGAGACCCATATAACCTCTGATTTTCTCAGAGAATATATGCCTATCGTTTTTATAATGTTGCCCCTTCACTTTTCTAATTGCACATGCATGTGACATCCACACAGCAATTATATTAATAATCGTTAACTAATTACCTCTTTATCCCCAAATAGATACCTTAATCATACTGCTTGGTTTTTTGAGAAAATGCCAAATTAATTAGATAAACAATTATGCTAACCAATTCGTCATCATTCCTTCTGCCTTGGTATAATGAGCTTGATTAGATATTATTCTCTTGTCCAAATGGAGAACAAAACAAGAATGATATGTGCCAATAAAAAATTAGTTAAATTAATATCCATTAATTTAAAATTTTTAATTTAAGGTTAAAATTTGAATTCAAATTTTTACACTATTAAACAATTAACTTTTGATTTACTAATAATGAAGGATATATATATTGGCACAAGAGATCATAAGATCAAAGTCATTCGATTTACTAATTGGAATGTGGAAACAAAAAACCACTTAAGATAATGTAAAAAAATAATAGTAATCTAATTTAATAATATAACAATGTTTTGTACATCCTTGACTAACTATGTCCGTACAAAATTAACACAAAATTAACCATTGAATGGGGAAGTAGTCCCTAAAAGTATGAATCTCCTTTCCACATGCAAGGGTCCCTTTTTGCGATCAATGCAATCCAAAACTATGAAAAAAGGAGTCTTGATTATACTGAAGACCATTAATTAATGAAAGGGTTTCAAACAATCATTAATTTTTTTAATAATCTTTTCTTGAATGTACCATAATATCAATAGGGTGCTTGTTGAAGAAATGATTAATCTTGTGCACCCAACCCATTACAATAAGCCTTACAAAATCCTTAATAACAACGTTCAGCTCATTTGAGTTTCCTACACAGCATCCGTGCCATCCAAGTCCAAATTAAAAAACCCTTAGTCAGGCCCATCCCACAGCTTCCTTTCCAGTGTTGTCAGGCACTCAATAGTATTTGGATTTGTACACCTATCAGCAAAAGAAAACATAATTCTTTCAAATTTCTTTCAAATTTAGCTTCAATTCATATCCATGAATTTACTTGCATCAATTCAATGATTTTCTCCCCCACAAACTCTTATTGATCAAAACACTCCTGTTGCGTTGCGTGCATTCCAAATTCTTTTGCTCCTCGTAGTTGAAATAGAAAATAAATAAAGAAAAAATGGATTAATAAAAACAATTAATTAAAAATAAAATAATATCATTGAAAGTTTGAAGAGTTTAAAAAGAAATTTCAATCAATTACACTTTTTAAGACTTTTTATGCAACTGGTGTAATAATTTTTTATGATTATGCCCTCTCCAAGATACAATAACCCAACTTTTTCTCACTGTAACTTCACAAATTCTACCCTCTTATAAAGCAATCTCTACCCACCACCTTTCCTTACCCGAGAGAGTTTGAGTATGAAATGCTCTGTGTGAGGAATGAGAGTGCAAAAGAATGTGAATGGTGCAAAAGGAGAAGCTGCCTATTTATAAACCTTTTTTTTTTTTTTTTGGAAGTCAAGCGAAAAATATGATTTTATTTGGAGCAGCTGATTGAAAGGAAAACGGCATGTAAGTTTAAAACATTTTGAATGAAATAACTAAGCACACAATGCAGCCGGCTGAAAAAATAGATTTGTAACCGATTTGACAAATATTTTAATCTGAATGTTTTAAAGACGGATCCGTAACAGATGAGGATTCGACAAATGGTTTATATTTTTTTTTTAATTAAAATTTAGAACAAATTCCCCACACCAATGCAAACCACATGAGCATCCAAACATCTCTTATTTCATTTCACATGACCATCCAAACACCTCTATATATATATTAATATCTAAATGATCCCATTATTACTCAGCTCGGATCTACAGATTTAATTTCATCTATATATTCAAGGGTACCGTGCACCGTCCACCGAATTTCTCTCTAAAATTATCATTACCGATAGTGGACTAGCGTCAGAAAAAGGCCTGATCATATGTATAAAACTACGAGATGCAACACGCATTGGGATTTTCGTCGCTGAAGAGCTGCGGTGCAGGCGGCATTTGCTCGATCACGTAAAGCGGCTGGTAATAGTAAATCATCTTGTTAATACCTTCCTCCTCACTGTTAATGCTCTCTTCTCCTTCCTTCTTCCGTCCTTCCTTTTCTTCTTTCTTCTCTTCGCCTTTCTGATCACCTTCTTCTTTTTTAGCTTCTTGGGATGGTTTTTCCTCTTTCTTCTCTTCCGGTTTCTCTGGTTTCTTGGCCTCCTCCTTCTCGGGTTCAGGCTCAGGTTGTGGTACAATGCGGACTTGCTTTCCGGTGCGTCTGTATAGATAATCCACAAGCTTGTTTGCATCCATGGTTCCTGTCACCATCACTTTCCCAGTGCTATACTCAGTCACAGCAGTTTGCACTCCTATGATTAATACGAACCAAAAGATACATGTTACTAACAGCTAATTGCTAAAATCTGCAATCAATTATATTATATGCAGTAAGCTCCACCAAACAAAACAAGTTATGCTCAACCCCACATCTGCAGTGCATATTGCAATATTAGTCCAAAAGTTTAGAGTAATTGAACTTGTTCACAAAGAAAATGGTTTACACGTTGTATAGGACCAACAGTCTTGTCGGCCAGATCCCAGATGCAAGCCACGTGGCAACGTGATTTTGAAGGTAAATTTTTGGAATTGAGGAGCAAGCATAAACATATGGCATGGGATTCCCTTTGTTGGCCAAAAACTTATCGTTTTGGTTTTGTCAATTTGGTATATAATGGATACCGTTGAGCCGTTGCAAAGGTTTGAATATCTTATTCTTTGGATACTTATTGATATATCCTAATATATTTATTAAAAATTATTTTTTAATCTAAAATTAAAATAAGCAAACTTAAAAATATAATTATGTATATAAAATAGAAAAAAAATTGATTAAATTGATTATATTTATATTATATTTTAATTATTAAACTAAAAAAATATGAAAAAGTGTATCAAATCAAATAGTATATCTCTTATTTTTTTTATTTTTTAGGTATCACACCATTATTAACCCAAGTATTACTTCCTCTTAATTCTCTAAATTAAGCATGAAAACTTAATCACTCAACTAAGAAATAAACCTCATGTCTACACAAGCCACCACAACTTAAAAAAATATGGCTATTATGTTGAGAGCATATATATTTAACTCAATTACGATGTTAGTAAAGAAAGATGATGTCTATGATATGATAATTCACCTTTCATTTTTAGAATCTTTTTCTTGAGTTGATCAGCACAGGCCTGGCAGTGCATATCAACATTGAGTTCCACAGTTGTTAATTCACTAACCTGAGATGATCATCAAAAAAACAAAAATCATCACATGAACATAAATATATTTGTGAAGAAATAGAATTATTCATTCCTCCTCAATTTTCTTGGTTTCCTTTTTCACCTGAGAAGTGACAACTTCAGGCATAGGATCACCCTCAGCTGCAGGCAATGGAGACAAAACTTTGGCCTTTCTTTTGGTCTTCTTCATAATTTTGGTGCATACTGCCTGAGGTTCCACAATTCCCTTTATAGTCACTTGATTTTGAGACATATCTGTCACAACACCCTCCACTCCTGCAATCAATCCAGCAAAATTTTGTCACAAAAGAAAGAAAATTACCACTTTAGAAAATTAAACAGAGGAAAAACAGGGGAGACAGAATTAAAGACCTCTAATCTTCATGATGGACCTCTCAATCTTCTTAGCACATCCCACACAATGCAAATCCACACACAACACAAAAGGAGATGGTGGCTTTGGCGGCTGCTCTTCTTTCCCTTCTTCAGCCGGCTTCTCCTCCGTTTTTTCTTCTTTCTTCTCCTCTGGCTGAGGCACCTCTGCCTTGACTTGCTCCTGGCCATTTTCATTACAAATTAAATGCCAACCTCAATCAACCAAGAACTTTTCACAAACACATAATAAACAAAACTAAGCGTAACTCAATCAACCCAAGAACTCCATTGCGCCAATATAACAAACACATGGGAAACAAAACCTAACATGCAAAAATCATGAACCTCACCTGCTTCGCTTCCTCACCCATTTCCTCTACGGTTATGACTCAACCAAAAAAGTCACCAGCGATTCAAATTCCGGAATTCCGATCACCAAAGCGCAGAAGAAGACAGTTTATATATGAATAAGATCCGTGAGAAAGACGGGGTTAGTAGCATATAAAGCGAAACTGTGTGATTCCGCAGTGCAAGCAGTGTACAAAGAACCCTCTTAGTTTAATATTATCTTTTTTGGCATTATGTCTCGAGGGGAGGAGAACTGGTGGAGAAGTGTGGCAGATTTATAGCGAGCTCTGGAAAAGTGGCTCATTTTAACAGTGATAATATGTCCATTCTGCACCGATCCACGTGGCTCATTTTGATTGGATAATATCTAAGTAAAGGGCGGTTTGTGGGGGCTCCGGTGTGGGCGATCATGGCTTAACACGAAGAAGGCCTCAAACTATTTCTGTTTGAAATTAAAATACACTCTTTATTTTAATTTATAAACTCGTGTGTTATTTTTGTAATTGGTCAAAAATAAGCAAAATTCTATTACGTGAGTTACTTGTCCTTACTCTGATAGCTTATCTTTATTGTTATATTGGTATAAATATGATTTATTTAGATTTATAAAAATAAAAAAAAAATTCAATATAAGGTGAGATTCATGTATTAAAATATATGATTAATTTATTAAAATATATAAAATATATGTTAGAAGGGTTTTTTTTTTTTTTTTTTTCTGAACGTTGGCTAATAGTTCAAGGACAAGGAAAGCCAGCTACTACTTCAATTTTTCAGATTGGTTGCTTGATCTGTATCATGTCTTACTATTAATTGTGGTGGGTAAAAATAGAATGTGAAGGGTAGATCTGAAAGATAAGATTAACATTAATTGACTTGCCTTTGTTTTGTAATTATTAATGAGTTTAAGTATCTCTTGTATTCAGATTTTTCTTAATAAAAGATATCTTTGTTATTCAAAAATAAAAAAAATAGCTCAAGGACAAGAGCTTTTAGGGGTTATGCCGGCAATTACACGGTCAGTTTATTTCTTTGACTGCCTCTTTTTCTTTTTTCTTTTCTTTTTTTTTATTATTTTTACTTCGACACATAGGTGGTAATAACAATTATATGTTGGATCGGTCGCGTAGGATGTACACCACTGAACGATTAATGCCCCTTATTAATCTGGGTTACCCGTAATTATAGCGCTAAACTAAAGGACAATGGAAGAAAATGGATTTATGTTTAAGTTGATGTTTTCAGTTCATATTGTAAAGGAGGAGCCCTAAATTCACTCCTAAATAGTAGGTAGAGACAAATTTTCCTCTTAAAAAAGAGCAATGATAAATTATTGTTTTAGATTATTAATTACAATAAATCACTTATTATTTAATATATGATATTATTATACATTAACTTGCAGTTAAAACAAACTTCGAAGGCAAATAAATTTTCAATGTATAATAATATTATATGTTAAATAATAAATATTTATTTTAATAAAAAATTTAAAAAGGATAATATATCTTTTTTTAAGGAAAGAATCTATCTTTACCCGCCATATAGGAGACAAATTTTGAGAATTGAGCTATTGTAAGAGCGTTTCCCGACGGCTTCCTAATTTCAGTATCTTAGCTCTGCTATTTATTTATTCAATAGTAATTTAATTTATATACATAGTTTGATATAATTTAAATTGTAAAATATTTTTTTAATTATAAAAAGATTTAAAAGTCATACAACTAAAAAAAATGTCACTAATTATTTATTGTGCATTTATAATTTAATTTATGAGTCTCATGTTTAAATCCACAATTTCATATTTGGGACTGGATGTTTTATTCAGGTAATTGTAGGGCTCATGGTAATTTTATTTTGAATAGTAGTAAAATAATATAGAAATCGAATACACCACAACTCCAAAATTGATTAGTTTGGAGGTAGGGCTTGTGGTAATTAGTTTATGCAATGCATAACTGATGAAAGTAATAGCCAATGTAAAAAGGATATGTCACAAACCACCATGAAATTTGAGGCTAAATCCGAGATTTTTGTTAATTCTAATGGGGATAAATTTATTACTAAAAGAAACAGCAATTATGCATATCTAATCCCATCTTATATAGTAATAAATTTTACAATGACAAGCCTATATTGCGAGATGAGATTATGTATATATCATTACATTGAAAATTTTGATATAAAGTTGCAGAATTTGAATGGAAAAGCATATCTTCTTTGCATGGCTGTGCTTAGCTGCATACTGCTTAGTGCTTACATATATACAAGCCTATAGATATGATCAAGCCTAAATTAATGCAGCCATAAAAGGTATGTACAGTAATATAAGGAAAGTGTATATGCAAGGTCAGAGATATGATTTGCATTGATTTCCTCTTATTCCTTCAATTGTTTCTGCGGTATTCTCCTATATCCATTAAAAAAAAAAAGATTTTGTATATATCCTTTTTGAAAAAAATAAATATTACTACATGGGCAACTTTAAATGTCATCATATATTTGTTGATATGATGTCTGAATCTCTTTAACTTACATTATACTATTCAAAATTCCGATCTAACTACATTTTTTAATTAATTATCCTCCTACAACTATTTAGGTCACTTGATATTATTAGAAATTAAAGAAAATAAACAGTGTGTTTTCAGTTTAGAAATTAGTGTTTATTAACTAGATAATAAAAAGATTAAGAGGAAAAATACAAAAATGACATTGTTTAAATAAAACATCATGAAAATGAATAAAATTATTCTCATTTTTACTTTTAAAATATAATATTTTAATCTTTTTCTATACCGAAAAAGTTTACTTTAATGACATAATTTTCAAATTTTTTTCTTCTATTTTTTTAGATGTCCAGCTAATAATCATTCAATAATGTATATAACTTTATCTCATTTGATGTTAGCTTGATGTGGGGAGAAATTATTATGTCCCAAATTGAAGTAGGTGCAACAATCTTTAAGGATTTGGGGGGAAGTATGTGACCATTTACAAAGAAAATTTACAAACCCAAATATTGGTTGGGTATAGAGATTAGGCACCAAATGAAAATGTTTTCAATGAAAAAGGATTCCACACCCAATTAACAAATTGTTTCCATAAATTAATTTACTTCAATTATAAATTACAGATTAGTTTGTGTTAGTCCAATCTTAAAATGATAAAAATATTGTTTATTATTAGGAAAATGATGTATGCACACTCTGTCATCACACCCTCCGTCACACACTCACTCCGTCTCTGTTTCTCTTCGTTTATCTTCGTTTCTTTTGTTAACTAAGCAGCTCTCCTTTTCACCCAACACAACTTTCCTCTTCACCCAGCCCTGGTTCTTTGATTTTCTTTCCCTCTCCTCCCCCTCTTCTTCTTTCTCTTCCTTCTTTTCCTCGCTGCTATCTAGGTTCTACATCTGGGTTGCAAAACACAGATCGAGTTTTGCAACAGAATCCAAATCTGGGTTCTGCTGCAGAACCCAGATGCTACATTTGGGTTGCAGAACCCAGATCGGGTTCTGCAATAGAACCCAAATCTGAGTTTTGCAACAGAACCCGATCTAGGTTCTGCTGAATAGTAAGGTGGCAGAAGAGGAAGGGAAGGAGCAAGAACTCACCACCATTAGGTGTCTTCAGAGTTAACGGATTAAGTAATGGAATGAGAGTATGTAATGGAGAGTAAGGAATTGCGATGTGTGCCAATCATTGTCCTATTATCAACATGTTGATTCAAAATGCCCTTACATTTAGTGACCTCCTCAATCAAATGGTTAGAAACTTTTTTTTTGTGTGTGCAAATAGTAGATTCATAGATTAAATAAAAAACCATAATAATACATGGAAAACCCAAACATAATAATACATAGAAATGGCTAAAACATTTCTGTTAAGCAAAGCATTCCCATGTGAAAGATTGAATTGGAATCCACAAGAAGGCATTGAGATTCGAAAAAATCCATCATAATTTTCACACCCAAAAGGAAGAAAAACCAAATAAACAAAGAAAAATGTAAATAGTTTTGCGTGTAAAGATATTTATGTATTAGAAAGTTGATATCACATGCGCTGCCACCCTTGAGATTAGAAAGGTCCATTTTATTATTTTTTTCTTCTTCCTTTTTAGGTTATCAAAAAGCTTTTTACTTTTTATTATCAATATCTAATTCTTTTACTTCTTTCTTTTAGGCTTTATTGCTGTTAATTTGAAACAATGTAGACAGGGACACGTTTTTCCCAAATACATTATATTTCACTATCAAACCTCACCAATTTGTGTACCATCGTGGGGACTGATTTGCACTACTACATTTTGTTTTCTTCTTCCTTTAAAATTAAAATTCAAAAGCCATTGAAGGAAACTTGAGAACCAAGCTTCCTACTTGCAATTTGACACCAACCTTTTGGACCGAAAGGATTATTTCTTTATCTTATCTAATGCATTTCCCATTTTATAAAAGAGCCAAAAAAAAAAAAAAAAGCAGTAAATTGCATGAGTAACCCCTTGATGTTTTAACCCTTGTTTGATTGCAGTCTTAACCCTATATATTGTTGTAAGCGGGCCCCCTAATCTTATTGAAACAATCTATGGTGTGTCCAGCGTCCAGTACTATCTATTATCATAAATTAAATAATTAATTTAGTAGCTATATGGATCCAACCTCTATTTGATTATTACTCTTTTTTTATATATAGAGTACAAATTAAGTTAGTACAAGTATATATAGTACAAATAATTTTTCTTTTTTTTTTTAAAGGAGGACTAACAAAGCCTTGCATAGTTGCCAACCGGACCTGTGGTCCAATTGGTTGACCCCCAAGCTTTAGGGCTTGGGTGAGGCGGAGGTCAGGGTTTCGAGTTATGCCACCACCGTGAACTCTACCAACTTGCGACCATTAGGTCGCACGCCTCAAATAAGGGGATGGAAGGTTCACTTTCCTGGAAAAATT